AGTTCAAAGTATTTATGACAGACTTCACTATATACAGAAAATCTCCCATTCATTAAAGTCCATTCAATCCATTTAAACCTCTTCACATAATTATTCCCTTTTTCAAATAAACATTGGTAACCATAACCCTATGTAACAGACAGCTAATTCTTTAATAACCTCTTTCAGCTGCCAGTAAAACTCTGAACTTGGAAACCCCACTGTGATGATGACAGATCGTGGAAAGCAACAAGCATTAATAATATTTTAATGATAGCACTTGGGTTATGTCAGTAATAGTTTACTTATTGCTGAAAAAAGTATTTGTGAAAGCTTTTCACATTGCGCGCATCAGGACAATTTACAAGAATACCAATTCAAGGGGAAAACTAACATTTATGAGAGGAGAATTCTGATTGGTGGCAAGTGGGCTGTCATTGGTAGCAATCAACAACTAAAACTGTTCGCACAATTTGTTTTGACTCACAGACACGTGCAGGATCTGTAAATACTAACTGCCATTTTTAAAGGCCCACAGAATCTCCACAGTTCTTTAGAAATCTTGGCCCATGTCTTTCTCCTTCTTTATCCACACACTTTAATAAACAGTTAACACGTTTTACAAAGAGCATATTTAAAAGACATTTTATTTTTGATGCTGTTTCCTGACTTGATGTAATCTTCAGATGTGGCTTCAGAAGAGTGATGAAGATGGTGTAATGGAGAATTCTGGAACTGATTAACATGGGTTCCTTGTCACCTCTTGTTTGTTGAATGTTTTTCAGCATTTCGACAATTATCTACGTATATCCATACAAGAAAAACAAGCTTTGAGGTCCCTTGTTTTTTTTACTTAAAGGGAGACAGTCTTCGCAGAAGTGTTTGGCAAACGTATTATTTGCTGAGCAGATGCTGGAAAAGTGCCATTCATATCGAGCAGCATTCCTTTGTTTTTCACATGTCACTGGATCGCTTGCATGTAATGTGTGTGTTCTCTGGGCTCAACTGGAGGTTATTAATACTTCAACTTTAAGGATTATAGAATCTTACAGCACTCATTCACCCACTCCGTGTTTTCTGTCTGCTGGCTGAAAGTGCTATCCAATTAGTCTCAATCCTACAGACCACCGCCACCCCCTCATCTGTCTTTCCCGCAATGTTTCTGATGAAGGGTCTAGGCCCGAAACGTCAGCCCTACTGCTCCTGTGATGCTGCTTGGCCTGCTGTGTTCTACCAGCTCTGCACCTTGTTGTCTCTAATCCTCTACACTTTCCCCTCCATTTCTTTATCCAATGCCCTTTGAAAGTCATTAGTGAATCTGTTTCCACCACCCTCTCAGGCACTGCTGTGAAGATTATCACCTCAGTTTGGCCTGTTCTTGTTAACACTGCAGCAGTGAAACAAACACTAATATTTCATAGTAATGAAACTATTCAAATGTAAATAGCATTCAAATCTGCAATATTGATCTTACACAGTAAAAATAAGTGTTAAAATTACTGCACAGGAGGCCATTCAGCCCACCATGACAGTACTAGCTCTTCAATTTGATTTATTGACTCTACTCTCAGTTATCTCCTACTCATGCTCATGTTCTTAAGAGGCATTCGGCCCATCAAATGAGCATCCATTGATATCATTTATGATGAAAAGGATATCGAAGAGGAAAGCATGAGCATTTTACATGAAGACATGAACATTTTGCATGCACACTGAAGGAAGATATTTGCAAATATCTAGTAGATAGTAGCCAACTTTTTCTTTTGTTTGGCTTTAGAAGTGGACAGTATCTAGTTCAAAAATTTATTTCCCCTCACGGCGCAAGCTTCCTGTGCCTGCCCATAGCCCTGATTGTCAAGACTGTCATTTCTCTCTCCTATCCTCCTCCTCCTCCTACTCCTCTTCCTTTGCTTACACTTCCTTCTCCTCCTGAGATGAGGAGAAATGTCTTCACCCAGAGAGTGGGGAGCCTGTGGAATCCTTTGCCACAGAAAGTGGCAAATGTTTTCAAGGAGTTTGATATAGTTCTTAGGGCTAAAGGAATCACAAGGTATGGGGCAAAGCAGGAACTGAGTTGGATGCTCAGTCATGATCATATTGAATGGGCTGAATGGCCTATTCTTGCTCCTATTTTCTATGATCCCCTATAAATAGATCTTCCATTTTCTATGCATCTGCTTCATATCCAACCGCTCTGTAACTGTGACTGTCTGCCTCTCGAGCAAGAAGGTGGCACTGATATTTGCCCCTGCGTCACAGTGATCTCCATCTTTCTAAGTTTTAGAGCAGTGCTGGACTAGTCTAAAGCTTCCTTCCTGCCGGGACTCAGGCTCTAGCCAGGTCCAAAGGCTGGAGCTATGAGAATCATAAATGGACCACCTTCTGCTGTAGCACCAATCAGCAAGTCATCAAAAAGCTACCCGTCTGTTTCTGTTCCCTATCCTGAGCAGTGGCTATCCTGCCAGCTTGGCACAACCACAGAAAATTTCAACCAAGGGCAGCAGTTGCTTCCAGTACCCCACAGAAGGCAGCAAGTTCGGGAAAGACAGCATGGCATCCATCAGATGGTTGCAATATGGAGAGAGATACACCTTCCATTCCTAATTCTGTCTTTAAACAATATGCTTTGATTTTCTTCTCCTGTGACCCGTTGCTGGATAGCACTCACCTTCAGCACTCCCAATGTGTGATCATTGAAACAAACTGTCTGGATGGAATCCTGTAGGAGCATGAACCAGGTGGGCTGTGGGGCAGGAATCTGGGAGAATCATGTGAGGTGTGGAGTGAGGGCTTTCTTGATGTTGGGAGCAACTCGTTGCATTTTCCAGCAGAGTTCCTGGCATCGAGATGAGATTCTTGCCACGGAGTGGTGAGATGCCCAATAATGTGTATTATTGTTTGTTATCACCTTCATTGATACTGAATCACAACTCGTTAATATGCAAGTTCTGATTTTACCATCTGCTGCTTGGAAACAAGAATTCCCAACATGAGAGTCAGAGCAGTTCACTGTTTGCTGCGCCAGGTCACCATCTTGAACATCTGGATCCAACATCTCATGCTCCATGGACAGTTTCTGTATTACCCCAAACAATGGCATCCAACACCTGCCAGCTTCCCTCTACCATCATGGTACATCACACCAACGTTTCCTCTTATTCTGGCTTTCTGAGCCTCTGAAGTCCACTCCTGGAACCGGAGGACAATCGGTGTGCCAGCACCAGTTGTCCTGAGCAGAACCTCGGAGTGGCTGCACACATGCAGTTTTCGGAATGTGCCATCTCATATCTGCTTAGATTCATAGAATCTCTACACAGCCCGTTCAACACATCGAGTCTTCACTGACTGGCTAGAGGGCATCCCACTTAGACCTCACCCTATCCATGTAACCCTGGATTTTCCATGGTTAATCCACCTAGCCTACACATCCCTACAGGGAAGTTTAGCATGTGGGAGGAAATCAGAGCACCCAGAGGAAACCCACGCAGACACGGGGACGATGTGCAAACTTCGCACAGACAGTCGCGCAAGGCTAGAATTGAACCTGGGTTCCTGGTGCTGGGAGGCAACAGTGCTAACCGCTGAGCCACCCCAACATGATGCACTAACTGTATTTTTCTGCCATTGAGGGCTGTACTTTGGAGTGTAGAGCCAGTTATCATTGAGAATGCTGTGGCAAGGACACTTTGCCCAAAGGGACATGCACCCCAGCTCCCAGACCTCACCCAGGATCCATCTCAGAGCTGCATCACTTGCTCTCTCACTGCTCACACACTTTGCCTTGTCCTGGCATTCGTTGTCTTTTAGCGCAAACACAAAGCTAGGCAGCTTGCCTTGGTTGCCAGCTGTGACCATCCAAAGGGGTGGGCATCTTGTTGCATGGCACTGTGCTACATCAGTGCTGCAGCTACACTATGTGCCAGCAGGCAGACAGGGCAGACACAATGCATTGTTTCCATTAAAAGGCCACATCCTGAAGTCAGAGGTGGGGAGTGCTCAGTCACATCCAAGGGAGACACTCTTCAGGCATGGAGTGCCTGCACAGGGCAGTCCAGGGACGTGGACATGGTCATTCAAATGTTTGAGGCCATCAGGGTCAGGAGCCTCTAGGAGGGTGAGGAACGAAATGCCACACACACCCCAGGTCCCTGCCTTGTTGCTGCCTGTTGTATAATGGGCCGACCTCTCCTGCAACAGGGCAAAGGAAGGCACTGGGTGAGATGAAAGTGGCTGGCACAGCTGGTGACTTTGGGGAAAGATGGTGAGTGACTGAGAAGGAGGCACAGAAGCCAGCGTGGGGGCGGGGGGGTGCAGAGGGGGTGAGATGAGGGTGGGTGAGACCAAGTGAGGGAAGATGCTGCATGCGTCAGTGAGTGTGAGGTACAGCATGAGCCTAGGTGGGTGGTGGGTGCGGTGCAGAGATACAGTGAGTGTGAGGGATCAGGGAGAAGATGATGGAACATTACCTGTCAGAGTGGAGAAGGTCATTGAGCTTTATCTTGCACTGCTGGCCACTCCTCCAGGTGACTCAGGAGACACTGACCTGAGCGGCAAACCTCAGATCAGGCTGGCAGGGCCTCATCCTCTTCTGCTGGCGTTGGGTTAAAAGGATCTCCTTTTGCACCTCTTGGCCCAGCAGAACCCCAAGGTCCCTGTGTGCAGAACTGAAGGCCGATTCCTCCTCGTCTGCCAAGTCTGGGACAAATGTCCCGAACCAGACAGGGCAACTCCAGACTGCCAAGTCTCATCTGGGTGCTCAAAGACTTCTAATGCTGGCATTGGTGCTAGGGAGGACATTCTATTCTGGAATATCCTGGCACTGGTGACTAATTCTGAGAATGACGGGAATTGGAATCGGCTTGGCATTGGACAGGATGGGGTGGGTAGGCTGTGATTGAGACGAGTTTGGGACTCTAGCACAAGAGAACCCGCGAAAAGCAAGGCTCCGTGAAACTTGACACGAATGACACAGCCAAAAAAGTGGGAAGATTCAGTCCTCTGTTCTTTTGTTTGGTATTTAGATGTTCCAATGGGTTTGACCGTCATCGACAGGAATGGCTGGACTATCACTGCATGGAGGAGGTACAGTATATACTTACCTCGGCACTGATCCCATCAGTCTCCTTTACATTTCCATTTTCTTAACATTCTAATTTTTTTTAATAATATGTCCCTGTTTGCTCGTCTGCAACAAATTGATGGCATGTTAAATCAAAAATAGTCTGACAACATTTTTTGGGGTGAATTAAATGAGAGGTTCATGTGGAAGTTCTTTGAAAGTGCTATCCAATTTGTCCCACTGCCTGATCGTTTCCCGTAGCTCTGCAGTTTGAATCTGTTTTGAAAGTTATTGTCGAATTTGTTTTGACCAACCTTCCAGCTCATCATAACTCACTACAAAATATTCTGTCTTCAAAACTTAAGAAGTAGGAGCAACAGTTGTCCATAAGCCTTGTCAAGCTTGCTCCAACATTGTTCATAGTTGATTTTTGACTTTAACTCATTTTCCTGCTTAACATCAACTATTTAAGTGTATTCAATGATGGATCATCAGGGATAAAGAATTTCAAAGATTCAAACCCTTAGGGTGAAGTATTTCCTCCTCATCTCATACGTTTCTCTGTGTTCCAGGCTCTCCACCTGGGGATACAACCTCTGTATTCACCTTGTCAAGCCCCTTCTCATAATGTCAATGAGGTCATCTGTCAATCTCTTAAATGCCAGCGAATGTAGATGCAGTTTATTCGGCCTTTAATCATGGTCAACCCAGCGAACCTTATTTGCACTGCCTCAATGCAAGAATATCCTTCTTCAATGTGGAAGCTAAAACAGCACGCAGTATTGCAGATGTGATCTCATCAAAGTCCTGGATACCAATAACAAGACCTAATTATCCTTTGGGATAAATGTCAACATGTCATTTGTCTTCCTAATTACTTACCATACCTGCATGCTTTGCATTCTTTAAATGAGTACACACATGCCCCTTTGACCATCAACATTTAACAGATTCACATTTCTTAAAGAAGATCTGATTTTTCTGTTCTGAATGAATAATTTCACACTTTGCTATATCATTCTCTTGTTGCTCATTCACTTAGCCTGCCTATTGGTCTTTGTGACCACTTTGTGTCCTTCCCACAGCTTACATTCCCATCACGTTTTGAATTGTCAGCAAACCTAGATACTATTATTTCCTCCTATCCTACCTGTTCCCTTTGCAAATCATCTTAAATCTGTGACCTCTGGTTACTGACACCCCTACCAGTTGTAAACATTATCAGCATCTTTCATAATTTTGAACAAACTTCCCTACATTACTGAAGTCCCTCATCCCCGATATCATTCTGAGAATTAAGGCTGTTTTTAGTTCAACTCTACCTTAGCATATAATTGATATCCCCATTGAAGGGAAGGATATATTTGCCTTAGAGAGGGTGCAAAGGTTCACTTGATTGGTTTCTTGGTTGAAGAGATTGAGTAGACTAGGCTTCTATTTCCTCAAGTTTAGAATAATAAGAGGTGATCTCATTGGAATATTCATAAGGGGACTATTGGGTAGAATGTGGAATGGTATTTGCCCTTGCTGTCAAGCCAAGAACCTTGGGTCAGAGTTTCAGAGTTAAGACTGAGATATGGACATTATCTCTCATTCAAAGATTGTAAACATTTAGAATTCTCCACCCCAGAGAATTGTGAAACTTACAGTTGTTAATATTCAAGTCAGAGATCAGCAGATCTTTAGTTTCTGAGATAATGAAGGAATATGGGAATTATGCATGGAAGTGCGAGAGAGGTAGAAGATCAGCTGTGATCTCATTGAATGGTGGAGCAGCTCAAGGGGCTGAATGGCCTACTTTTATTCCTATATTCTTGTAAATTCCAATTGTGAACATCTGGGCTGGCAGCTTTGCTGGCATGAGCTAAATCAAAGCTAAAATCCTCTTTGTTAAAGGGTTAGAGACCCCTCCTAGAAATAAGCACCAAGCCTGCAGGAGACACTCAGCAGGTCTGGCAGCATCTGGAGAGAAAACAGAGTTAACTTTTCGAGACCAGTATAACACACTTCTCTGTATTTTGTTTTCTCCATGGATGCTGCCAGACTTGCTGAGTTTCTCCAGCATTCTCTGTGGTTTGCTTTAGATTTCCAACATCAGTAGTATTTTGCCTTTATTCAAGACACCTCCATGAAGGGGCTTTGCATGTCAGATTTTGTTTCCTCCCTCACTGAGTTCAGGGACCTGGTACAATAACTGTCAGGCAGTTTATTGGACTGGCCAATCTGGACCAGCAGCCTTCTACTCTTCAATGCTCAATTTCATAATTTCACATAGAATGACACCCAACAAGAATGCACATTGGAAAATCGCAGCTCTCCTTCCATCCACAGCCTCATCAACCCCAACCATCCCTCAGCTCCTGAACCTTAGCAGGCGAGGTTCCACTTAGAAAACACAAAAATTCCTTTTCAGTGCTCCTGCTGAAATAGTAGCAGCATCATTACCATCCTATGAGAACCTCTGATAATTTCACGATGGGGGTTAGGCACTGAACATTTCAGTGTTCAAATCCATTCCAGTTTGAAAGCTCTGTTTGCTGTCTGTGGAATGATTTCACTTAGTCTTCAATTCTAACCCAGCAGCTTAACTTTGTCCATGATTAAATCCTCTTTCAGATAACTATTAGATGTTAACTCCATCCCATGTTGTTAATGTTTCCGTTATTATCTTTGCAATGTTCCAGCACAGCGGTGAGCTCTGCGAGGACCATCCTGAATATTTCCCTGATATCTCCTCCACAGCAGTCTCTGTAAATTCATTGGAAAGTGAAGTTACCACCACCACATCAGTGCTACTCTCAAGCAGTCTCACTACAGAAGGTAAACACATCAACCCGCTTTCTCTCCAACCTGTTTATATAAAAGGATGAGAAGTAACTCAAAGTAAACTGATTCATATAAAATTGCCTCTCCTACTGTGTGGGCCCTCTGAAATTGGTCCATTAAAGAAAATCTGCTGAAAGGAAAGCTTAGTGTATAACTCTCAGTGTGCACAGTCACAGCTCCACAGGAGTGAAGAAAGAAAACAAATTAATTACTTAAAAACTGAAGAATGTCAGGGAAGGTGCTGTGTGATATTTGCATCTGAGTCAAATCACATAAGAACATAAGAACTAGGAGCAGGAGTAGGCCGTCTGGCCCTTCGAGCCTGCTCCGCCATTCAATAAGATCATGGCTGATCCTTTCGTGGACTCAGATCCACTTACCCGCGTTCTCTCCGTATCCCTTAATTCCTTTATTGTTCAAAAAAAATCTACCTTTTTTTAAAAAACATTTACTGAAGTAGCGTCAACTACTTCACTGGGCAAGGAATTCCATAGATTAACAACCCTCTGGGTGAAGAAATTCCTTCTCAGTTCAGTCCTAAATCTGCTCCCTCTAATCTTGAGACTATGCCCTCTTGTCCTAGCTTCACCTGCCCGTGGAAACATCATTTCTACTTCTATCTTATCTATTCCCTTCATAATTTTATATATTTCTATAAGATCCCCCCTCAATCTTCTGAATTCCAATGAATATAATCCCAATCTACTCAGTCTCTCCTCATAAGCCAACCCCCTCAACTCCAGAATCAACCTAGTGAACCTCCTTTGCACCCCCTCCAGTGCCAGTACATCAGTGCCACAATCACTGGTAAGGCTGATGGACCGAACAGAACCAAGGAACTTTCTAGAGAAGTAGGGAGGAAGCAGAGGCCATGTCCTTTGTATCTAGGCTGACACACTCCTTGGTAACAGGAATTGATTTTGAGGCTGCCTTCTACATTAGTGCTTGCAGATGTAACTGCTGAATACTCCCCTTGGTATGAAAATCAAAGAGGTGATTTATGGAGTTCTTGCTTCTGCCTTGAAGCTTTGTCGGTTGGGAGTGTGTTTCTGGGATCTAAGCCCGTGCTTTCCCGGAAAACCATGCCAAGGTTGCGTGCAAATTCTGATCGTCAGCTCTCCTGCTGGTCACAGCTCCAAAGTGGGAGTTTCGGTTTTGTAAAATGACTCAGTTCATGTTATATTTGTTGCCCAATTAAGGCCATTTAAGATGAAGGAGTCGCTAAAACGTGAGTGCTGTCTCTATCCCCTCTGCTATTTTTTCCAACACTATAAATCCTTAGTTGAAGCAGTTCTGAAGCAGCTTTTAAATTCTCCTCCTTGTTTACAAATCCTTCCAAAAAGAAAAACCCAGTAAAACATGTGAATGACATATGCTAGTCTGACTTGTCTTGTGTCCTTCAAAATGGAACTCCATTATGCCCAGTATGGCATTTCCATGAGTGACTGTTTTTTTTTAACCCTCTGGGCTGACCAGTCTTCTCTGCATCACTCAGTTTCCATCACCATTGGCAGCTGTGCCTCCAACTGCAAAATTGGCCTCCTCTGCTCCAGTTCTACTTCTGAAAAATAGGCACTAATCTTTCCCCATTAGCCAGAACGTAGCTAATCTATCAGAACAAAAGTTTCATAACACAGCCCGGTACCATCCTGCCTAATGGTGCCACTAACTTTGAACAATCTGCGTCAAGTATGAACTGAGCTCGAGAACTGCTTTTTACTAATGCCAAATGGCAGGTCAATTGTTTTGCCTAATCAATATTCTGCTGCTGGAAATTCAATTGCAAGGCTTTTGTTATCTCTCACTAATGCGCAATAACTGTAACAGTATAATTACTTTAATTGCTTTGATCTGCATGAGTGCACGGTTTGGATTTTATGCAGAATAAAGGGATTTTAAAAGAACTGTTGCAAGTTTAATAGCTCTGAAATTGCAAATTCGTGTTTCTAGCTTGCAGGTTGACCTGCCCAGGAGTGGAAATTGAAAGCATAACCATGAGTTTAAAAGAAAGTTTGCCCTCTCTCTCAAAATTTAATAATTCCGTAATGTTAATTAGATCATAAATCACTCAATTACAACAAAGATGAAAATATGGATAGATATCCCGGAATTGTGCTTGAAGGCTTTTTGAGAAATATTTACACAGAATTACTGAACCCTCATGGGAGTAACTGTGGTAGAGTTCTTTTCAAAATACTTTCCTCTCATGTATCATTTTTATGCTCACTAACAACTTTAGCCCTGATATTTGATAATCGTTGCAGTTATACTGAGCTGTTTGACTTTGGACGTCTACTGATTCATGTATCATTTGTTATTAAATGTCACTCTTGGTGCTCATGGTACACAAGTTTAAATATCGGGACCACATAGGTGCAAGCTGAATTTCTCACTTACCCTGCCAATAATATTAAAAGCTCAAAATTTACTCAAGGTGGCACATCTTATTGAAACAAGATTATTAGGGCACTTGAAAGAGTAAATGTGGAAAGGTTGTTTCTTCTTGTGGCAGAGTCTAGGGCCAGAGGTCATCATCTCAGAATACATTTAAGACAGAGATGAGGAAGAATCTCTTCTCTCAGAGGGGAGTGAATCTATGGAATTCTTCACTACCGAGAGCTGTCCAGGCTGGGTTATTAAGAACATTCCTTTTTAAGAAGAGATAGATATTTTTGAGATAGATAGATATTTAATCAGTGAGGAAATCAAGGCTTACGGGGAAAAGGCAGGAAAATGGAGTTGAGGATTTGTTTCAGGGATTTGTGATCAGTTAGGCAATTGATGATTTATTGCAATTTTCCCCTGGTGTATTGAGTTTGCTAAGAAGCAGTAGTCTAGATATGATACATCAGTTAGTTAGATAAAGACAGTATACAATGGTGACAACTGGGGATGGTTCACTGCTACCACAGGACAAACAGGCTGTCAGCGTAGAGTGTTTCAGTCTCATTAAAGTGGTGGAGGCAGCAGGGAACTCTTCCCTCAATCTTCCTCTCCTTGTGACCCACCTTCCTTCTGCCTGGTGAGGACTGCTCAATGAAAACTGCTCTCTGGGAAATGTTCCCCCTGCCCTGAGCCTACTCTACTCTTATTCCTGTTTGGATCCTCCAATGCAGATGTGACTTAGCTCCAAAGTGAATAGTCCAGTGCAGAATCTGACTCCTAATTCACTTGGCTATTGTGTGGCTTTTCCAGTGCAGGTTTTGTTTCTCTGACTCCCTTGGCTCCAGTGTGGTTATTCTAGCATGGTACTGACCTAGTCCTGGTGCCTGCTATTGTGAATACTCCTCTCTCTGAGCCTAACACTTATTGTTGTCCTTATATTTCTAGAGGCAGGTAGCCTACACCATGTTCCTCAATGGTCATGGAACAGCCATTCATGATGTCAGATGATCATCGCCCCATTAGCTGCTCTCATCTGAGGGCTGGTTTATCATTCTGTACAAACTTATTTTCAGAAACAACACTGATAATAAAGTGTGTTTGCCACCTGATGAATTGCTGATGCTAGTCTTGGGCATTGTGACTTCTGTGCATTTTGCAATTCTTCCCTTTGTTTTCATAAGCAAAAATTTTGGAAAGTTAGATACTGCTGTAGTAGCTGCTAAACTAAATCCCATGCATAGTAAATACCAGGAAAATTCTGTTTTAAGTGATCCTTCAACAAGGATTATCAGATTAACTATGATCTCTCTGAATGGCAAAGCAGTTCAATGGGCAGAATGGCCTACTTTTGTTCCTACATCTTATGGTGCTGTTTGGAGCACCTTAATTCAGATGGGAGTTACAAATCTTGGTGAACCACTTTCTTATTGCCATTTCTAACAGTAATTCCACAAATGTAATAGTGAGGTGAATAAAGTTTGAACATTTGACAATAAATTAACTGATTAGATCAACTGATTAGATCAAATATCCTGACAAAAGGTGTTAACAAAATGAAGTGAGGACTATTGATGGAGTAGATAGGAAGAAATCATTTCCACTGTTGGGAAAGATTAGGAACTGAAGAAAAAAGAGAAGTACCAGCAGAATCAGAGAAGAGACAAAAACAGAAATTGCTGCAAAAGATCAGCAGATCTGGCAGCATCTATGGAGAGAAATCGGAGTTAACATTTCGGGTTGCGTGAACCTCCCTCAGACCCTTCCTCACTCAACCTGTAGCATTAAATCTGATTTCTCTCCACAGATGCCGCCAGATCTGCTGAGCTTTTCCAGCAATTTCTATTTTTTGTTTCTGATTTACAGCATCCGCAGTTCTTTCGGTTTTTTGTTGAACCAGAGAAGAGCATTTTTTTAAGCAGTCCCAATCTGGCTAAGAAGGCTAGTGATAGCTAAATCAACAAGGAACTTCAAAAGGCAATTGAATAAATTCTTAAAAAGGAATTGAAATTGCAGAGCTGTGAGGTAACAGCAGCAGGCTGGAATGAATTGGAGGGCGCTTTCAAAGAATTGGCAGAGACTTCAAGTCTCTGTGAACCCAGTCCTTCAACTGTATCTGATGTGTAATATTGAAGTGTGCAGCAAATAGATTTGGCTATTTTATGGAAAGTATTGGAAATAATTAGCAAATGATCAGAGAGAAAAATGCAGACTTGTTAAAGTAATCTACACCATCAGTAATACAACAGTCCTACCACACTACCCTAGGCTACTTTGAAAATTAGTTCTCAATCTCATTTTAGTGACTCACAGTTCATTAAACATTATACATCCGCCTTATAAATCAGTACAGTATATCTGAGCTTAAACATTTAAGGATTTTGCTACAATTCACACTTATTAAGTGTTGATAACAGGAAGCACATTTTTTTCCAAGTGTCTTCACTGTATAAGTAAACATTGCAGTAGTTAACAGCCTAAAGCTATGATGTGACATCCTGTGTGCTTACTGAGGCCAGTTGGAGCTAAAGTGTAGAATGTTGGAATTGTCTTGAGTTAATATGTAACTTAGGAAAATAACCTTGATAACAATCTGTTGCTATTTCAACAAAAACAGAATTGAAATCACATGTGCTTTTGAAATTATATTAACTAAACACACCATCAAACTGACCTCACCTCCACCGAAAATTGAGCCATACCTATGCCATTAAGAAAACACTGCAGATGCTGGAAATCTGAAATAAAGCAGAAAATGTTGAAGATGTCTGGTGGTATCTGTGGAGGGAAGAATTAATATTTCAGGTCATTTTCTTTGAAGATAGGAATGGGCCACTGGGCTGGTTGAGCCTGCTCTGCATTCAATAAGATCATAGAATCCCTACAGTATAGAACCAGTATATTCCAACCCTCCCCAGAGCATCCCATACCTCTAACCTATTCTTGTATTTCCCCATGGCTAGCCCAAACATCCCTGGGCACTATGGGGAATTTGGCATAGCCAGTCCACCTAACCTGCACATCTTTGGACTGCGGAAGGAAGCTAGAGAACCCAGAGTAAACCTACACAGACACAGGGAGAATGTGCAAACTCCACACAGAAAGTCACCCAAGGGCAGAATTGAACCCAGGTCCCTGGTGCTGTGAGGCAGCATTGCTAACCACTGAACCACCGTGCCATCATGGCTGATTTGATTACTCTGTGTTCCAGGCTGCCCTCAATCATCTTTCACCATCTCATTTATCAAGAATCTTGTGAAAAAGAAGGTCATTTACCTAAAAATTAGCTTCCCATCTCTAAATTTCTCTCATGAGAGGTTTGTATTTTTGATGAGAGAGGTTTGCATTTATATAGCATTTTCCACATCCACCAGACATCGCAAAAGTCACTCAACGAAGTACTCTTTGAAGTTATAAGGTAGAAACCTACATTACGCACAATTAGGTTCCACAAGCATCAATGTGATAATGATCAGATAATCTGTTTGTCTGATGCTGACCAAAGGCTAAATATGACAAGGAGTTAACTCCCCTCCCTCCTTTTTCGAAAGAGAGCCTTGTGGTCTTTGACAACCAACCAGTAGGCAGATGGGGCCTGAGTTTGACACCTCATCAGAAAGACAGCATCTCCAACAGTGCAGCACTCCCTCCGTACTGCACTGGAGTGTCTGAAGTTCAACTGCCTACAGTGAGTGGGCAGCCAATCCCAAGCTGAGTGACCAATGCTCTAGGCTTGCATACATGCCTTCCTGCCTAGGTAGTACAAGGGCCCTGTGAAAGAGCGATTACCTTCCCCACTCAATCCCACAGTGATGGCTCAGCTGCCTTCTATATTTTATAACCAATTTTGTTTTTGATAAAATAGCGGGCACCTCTTTTGTTGACACACCCCCTCTGTGAGTTACCTTTTACTACAGTTTGCTGTTCTCTCAAGCAGTAATAATGCCCCTGCAGTTAGCACTGGAAAGTCAGACAGAAAACAAAAAAAAAGCAAGGAGAAAGGGAGAAATCAGACCCAAAGCTAGATTAATGAATAGGAATATTTAACAAGATTTTAAAATGGCGTCATATCACAGATCTGAGCTTATTATCTGTCATCAATGTGCATTGCAGTATCACTAATTCCAATTTTCTCTTTCCTTTAGATGATACGAAACTCATTTTTCATCTGAAGGATGACGGTAAGTTTTATAAAGATTTATATTTTTAATTTGCTTTAACAATATATGTTCTTCCATTAATTGTTTTCTCAATTTTAGGTTTTTTTAACTATTTCTCAGGCTTTATTTATTTTAATGAGAGATAGTGCTGCTAGCAGTCATACTGCTGGGTGTCAGCAAGCATAGCCTTGTTTAAAGAGCAACTTGTTGTTATCATCTCGAAGATAGCAAGAACTGCAGAAGCTGGAGTCAGAGTCAATACAGTATGGAGCTGGAGGATCACAGCAGGCCAGGCAGCATCAGAGGAGCAGGAGGGTCGACATTTCGGGCCTAGACTCTTCATCAGGGTCTCCTACTCCTCTGATGCTGCCTGACCAGCTGTGTTCCTTCAGCTCCACACTGTTTCGACTGTTGTTATCATCTGCAGTGTGCTACACTAAGGGACAGTCAAAACAGGATTCTCCAGTATAGTTGCTTTCCCCCAATGTGCCGTCATAGACTGGTTGTGCTGTGAGAACTGTCCCAAGCGTGCTGTGAAATTTTGTGCAAAAGTAATGAAAATCAATGTGAAACAGGCATTGTTTCATCTTAAACATACTTATTGCAACCAAAATGACAACTCATAAAACTTATGAAAATTAATTACCAAATTAAAAAAAAACCTGTCAGTCACTGAACTGAATGCATCAGATTTAGGGCCATGAATAGTTAGAAATAGTTGAGTTGAGCAGATTTCGAAAATGTGTCTGTGCTCGCAGTGAAAGGTGTTTTCTGTTGGATTTGAACATTAATGCATTTGACCTTTCTTTAGCTTGGTGTAAGGACAATAGTGCAAACCTGTAGAGTAAGGCCATGAGCACAGTGAACGCTGGTAAACGTGATGTTTATGAGCAATTCATTCAGCTGAAAACATGGATGTTCTGTGGAATTGTTTGCTTCATTGAAATGTGCTATGTTATTGAAAAGTTTGGGAGCCACTGCTCTAGTATATTTCAACAAGGAATTGGATATATATCTGGGGTGGAGAAATTAACAGCACAACGGGAAGAGAGTGTGTCTTATTGCATAGGTGTTCCACAAAGGGCCAGCTCCAGAGCACATCGTCTGTGTTATTTCATACTGTGATCATGCAAACTGAGGCTTTGAATCAGTGAATGGACACAACATTAAGTAGCAGACAACGACCTTTGTCCTCCGTCTGACAACACTAGTTCCTGTCGCAGGCAAAATAAAAACAGAAAGAACTGCGGATTCTGTAAATCAGGAACAAAAACAAAGTTGCTGAAAAAGCCCAGCAGGTCTGGCAGCATCTGTGCTTCTAGTTTAGCTTTAGTTACTGCTATCAGTATTTGTATTTAGGCATTGCAGCTGGCAGTGTGGGGGTTAGTTTAGCTCTGTTGGCTAAGTGTCTGGTTAGTTAATGTAGAGTGATGCTAACAGTACAGGTTCAATTTCTGTACCAACTGAGGTTACTATGAAGGGTCCTCCTTCTCAATCTCTCCCATCAACTGAAGCATGGTGACCTTCAGCATAAACCACCACCAGCAAGTTCTCTCCAATAAGACAGTAGCCCCATGGTCAGGTAGACTATGATGATATATCTGTAGCTGGTGTTTATTTGGCTAGGTTTCTATCTTAGCAAGCAAAGAACTGTACATTAAGATTCTGCAAAATATAATGGCCTTTCTAAACAAAAAAGGAATACAAATTTGCAGTTGAAGTTTCTCAATCCTCAGTGTTTGTGCAGACACACACACCTTTTTATTTGTTCTCTGGACATGGTGACATTGCTAAAGGGTGTAAACCTGAGGAAGGAGGCGACCTCTTGTACACCTGTATTAGGCTGTTTCCAAAAGTCAAAATGATTTCTCTTTGGTTTCCTTCTTCAATTGTGACAGCATTTTATACCAAACACTGAGACTTGTTGCTTTTTCATTTTCCTCTGCGCTATCTATAATTTTTACTCCATCTCTCAGGACAGGTTCAGCATTTTCCCAATCACTCCTCCCGTTGTATATGTTGGCCCCAGCAGGGTGTGTTTACCTGAAGTGGCAGTGCGTATTTTATCCCCTGTAGCATAAGAAATTAGGACATAGATAACATGATATTGAAAGATCCAACATATGTTTATTATAGCTCACTTATATTTATCCAAATATTGCATTCACGAGCACATCATGTCTGGGCAAACATTAAGGTGTTCAGTTACAAAGAATAGCACATTTAACCTCAGTGTGACATGCTTCAAGTGGCCTGAATTCAGATGTGATGGTGACCATTGTGCCCTTAGGTCATATGCTATGATATGGTGATAATATCATGAGCATGTCTGTTAATTGGGGTCTGTGGTTCTTAAACATATACTGACCGTGGACATAACATAACGCCTCCCATGGTTCATTTGACACTATTATAGACCCCACCACAATCCCTGTGGGAATCACCAAGGATCCTATACCCTTTAGGGAAGCTCAGTCTGTTCACTATGTTCAGACACATTGACTGAGTTCAGCTTCAACCCAGCTCGGAGTGGGTGGCCTTGAGATTGTATCTTTATATGAATCCCTGTTTCTTCCGGATGACCATGGCCTAGTGAGCTGACAAACATGGGCAGAATTTACTGCCCTCCCTCGAGATGAATGCAGACATGGGGCAGAGTGAGTGGGTGCCAGGTGGGGATGCCACCACCTTTCCACTTCTGCCATGTCCACCTCACTGCCAGCTGAGGCCCTTTTAAATGGAGAATTAATGCCCATCCTATTACCATCAGTATTCACCCAGGAACAGGTAGGGCAGAGCGTCACTACTGAAATGGGAACACAGCCTTTGTTTGAGTTCCCCACTAGGGTCAGTGCTTGATGGAAGGACTCACTGTTAGGAAGGGTATGATCTGCTAAAGGTCACTCTACTACTCTCACTGTCAACCAGCCCCCACATCCGTGAGTCCCACTCCATGACCACCCTCCCACCCCCAGTCACCGGTGGCCCAGTCCTTTGGGTGGGTATATTACTGATCAGTGCCACTGCTTCCGCTGTCTGTACCTGCAGAGGAGAGCTTCCAGCCTTGATTAGACAGTAGCCCTGATGGGGTAAGGCTTTGCCCCTTGTGCCCAGGGGAAGGGTCAGCATTGGCTGCTGAAGTGCCTGGCAGCTCTCTTCAAAATGGGAGGCATTTTCCAGCTCTCCCACCAGTGAGTGAGATCCCATGACCTCGATTAAATGCTCCTCATGGTACAGAGGTAGGTATAGATGTGGGGTGCGTTACAGCGTCATTGTCAATCATTGACGAAATTGTTGGGATGTAACAAGATACTGGGATTGATGAACAAGAAGAATCTAGTTTTATCTTCACTACCAAATGAAATGGGTTGAATTTTTGTTTTCCATTCAAGATGAGGCAACACTGGATATAAACATACCAATTACTATCAATCAAATCACAGCACATACTGCAGGCCAAGACCTGGCTGGTTGGATTTGAATTGTTAGCTGCTCATTAGTTGTGCAGATTTGGTATTTCTTTACAAAAATGAAGCATTAAAAACATTGGAAGCAGAGAAATGGCCCTGTTGCACAGTGAATTGTACTCATCTCCTTGACAGACAAAGGTAATTCACACTCCAGCAATGCTGACCTCTCAGTCAGCCTCTGACCTTTGCAAATCCTTCACTAATTCTAACTTTTCCCTTCCCTCTCTCCTTTTACTCAACTCTGAACATTTGCCATTCCCCTTTGCTGTTCATCCCTTCCTCGCAATGTTTTATTTTCTCTTCAGTGTAAACCTCTTTGGGATTTCTCTTTATATGTAAGGAGCATTATGGAAGTTTGAAGCATGGTTTTTATGTAGATCACCTCTCCTACTGTCTTCCTCACCATATTCCTCAATTCCTTCTGTTGCACATAATGGAGAATAAATGAAGTGAAAACCCCAATTCCTTTATGTTTTGTTTTGGGAAGGTGGATTTTTGTGCATTTTAGCCCCTTAATTTGTAGAACAGGAGCAGACTTTAGTGGGTTTGATGGAGGATTTCCATCCCTACACTCACCCTGACACACTGAAGAAAGACGTGGGTAAAGAGGCCAGTGCACTTCTACAAGATGTAAACTGAGATTTAGTACCTCCTGTTCTGAGCAGGACAATGCACAGCAAGACTCCACCACCAGACCCAGTCCATCACAATCTCTATCACTGCTGCCCAGAGGGTGCCCCTTCTTAAACGTACTTTTCCAGGTCTTCTTTGACCGGCCCTTTCTTCATTTCTTCACAGGGAGGCAATAGCCTAGTGGTATTATTGCTGCACTGTTAATCCAGAGACCTGGATAACATTCTGGGGACCTGGATTCGAATCCTGCCATGGCAAATGGTGGAATTTGAATTCAATTAAAAAAAAACCCAACTGGAATTAAGAATCTAACGATGACCATGAATCCATTGCCGATTGTCGGGAAAAACCTATCTGGTTCACGAATGACCTTTAGGGAAGAAAGCTGCCATCCTTACCTGGTCTGGCCTACATGTGACTCCAGACCCATAGCAATGTGGTTGACTCAGAACTGCCCTCTGAGCAATTGGGCATGGACAATAAATGCTGACCTAGCCAGCGATGTCCTCCTCCTGTTAACAAATAAAGGGAAAACAAAAATTTCCCATCCAGCGATGTCTACTTAGCTAGCAATCTTGTGCAGCCATGTGTCTGGGAGTTTGAACACATGTCCTGGCAGTTTCACTCATCTCTCTCTCTCTCTGCCATGATAACCAGTAGGCACTGTTGACCAATGCTGAGTAGCACTTCCTCACTGATGATGTTGTCTGATGTAGAGAATGCTGGTGCAGGATGTCCACTTTATGTGACACTTTTGTTGTTCCCCTTCCATGTCTCACTGGCATCCAATGCATATACAATTCCAGCTTCAGGGCCATCTTGATGGTGTTGGGTGCTCACGCCATGTGGAGGCACTGGAAAATTGATGTAACTCTGCCAGTTTTTGTGTGAAAATCTATCTCTACATCACCCTCCTTG